GAGTCAACCCTGGGCCGGTGAGATTTGAACCGCTGAACTGCTGATCTAGCAGTAGCCTGCAGTGCTGCATTTAACCACTGCGCCACCTTGGCTCTTAAGATGATTGTCCATTTGAGGGATTACAGCATTAATTTGGCTACATGATTCTCAGCTCAAAACTCTCATTTGTGCACAGAACTGTACAGAGAGTACAAGGCTCTAAAGGAATCCAAGGGGCATCATGATCATCCTGAATCTGTCATGACCTGCCAGCAAGAAAACCAGGAACTGGTAGCACCAGAAAAGGTATTGAAAAAGCCACCGTTTTCCTGGATGCCCAAAAGGCCTTTGATAACTTAAAACTGGCAATTTATGATCCAACAAATTAGAAATGTGAATGTTGGAGACAATTTTGGAAATATGATAGAAGCTATATACACTTCCCAAAAGGTAAACGTAATACTAAATGGGGATTCCAGAAAGAGTTGTTCTAACCCAGTGGTGGGTTCCGTATCCCATTGCAACCGGTACGCTGCAACGGGGCCGGGCGTCCACCATGTGCACGCGCGCAGTGCACGCATGCGTACTTACCACAACGTTCCAGCTGTTCGGCGGAGCATTGTGCAGGCACCATATGCTCCATGCGGGTGCGCGAAAGCCCCAATAGGCTCAAATGCAGGTAAGGAGGGTGGGCAGGTGGGCCCTCTGGAGCACCGTACCGGAACAGTACCTGGTGCTCCCAGCAGGCACCAGTACGCCCATACCAGGGCACACTGGTCGTATCACACTACTGGTCTGAGCCAAACTTGCTTAAACATCACCAACGTCTCAGTTGTTGGGTTTTTACAACATGCTAAACCTAGTTACTACAATAGTCGAGTTTATGGGTTCACATTAATACAATACACTTATGTGCCTTGTGAATGTGGCCCCCAGATCTTTAATTGTTTTCCTGAAATATCTTATGCCGAGTTAACATTTCCTTCACTCCTTTTATACCCCGCATCCAAAACTCACTGGTTGTGTTTGCACAATATTCAAACCCTAGTTTTCCTAATCATTTAATTTTCCCATTTCACCCAACTGTCACGATTTGCATAGTGTAGACAATTAATCACACTTGCTGCATTCACACAAGAGGGCAACCCAAAAAACAAATTGTTGAATTTGTGACTTCGCCTGGGTCTTTTTGAAAAAGTCTTTTTGGTACAGTTATTAACAACTGAGTTGTCTTTCTGTCTTCTCACTACTTGGGTTTAAGGCACCTGATTCCGGTTCCTGGGGATCGCACCTGAATCGAGGACTGAAGGTTTCTAAACCGACCAGGCAGAATCCAGAAGCCTTGCAGGCCTCTGCACAGCATTTTGGGATGAAGCTGAAATGCAACTTAGGTGCAAAAATTAAGGTCTGAAGACTTTGTGACTGTTGAGAAATGTATAGTTGCTATATAATGGCACTTTCTGAGTTCAAAGAATGCAAATATATATTGTGCAAAAGATTGTAGTTTTAGAACGTAGAAGTACTGTCGCTTGATTTCTGAAGGATGAAAGTTATTGCAGAATCAAAGGGACCAATTCTCTTAAAAAAATTCTTTCTTATCGATGCTCTGTTGTTAACAAACGTATCTCATTTTGAGTTAATTAGATACCTCCCATAGCATTTATCTTGGCTCATAGCTACCAATAACTCAGAACCATTCAAAATTTGATCTGGAAGGGAAGTCTACATTTATGAGTCACTTTCTTATTATATTAAACTGTGATTGTGACTAAAGAAATAAGAAAATCAAGTCAAATAAATAACATGAATGAAGATTAGAAAAGTAGTCTTCTACAAATGTATCACTCTAGTCCAGGAATACAGAAATCTCACGAAAAACCAGAGAAATAGAATGCTGAGAGAAAATTGAAAGGAACTTTTTCCCACCGTTTCTTTCGTTTTTTTAATAAAAAGATTGGATTGCCTACTTGCCTAGTAACCCAATTAATCTCTTATTTTAAATATAACTTTCTCATATGAGTAAACAAGAATAATTCTAGAGGCTGTCATAATTTATACTTTGATTAACCCAACGTATAGTCTTGATTATTTGAATTCTGACATTGTAAGTAGGGTAGGGGAGAAAGGATGATAACATTAGGCCCAAATTTCTTCCCAAACCTGCTAAATGAGCCCCAATTTTAAACTGACTCAGGTTTTCTCCTGCCTTGTGGCATGAAGAATATATTCATCCTCAAGTTTCTTGGATAGATGGATGGTCGTATAAATCGGATAAACAAAACATGCAGGGAGATTGCAGGCAGCTGTAAAACAGCAAAAATAAAATAAATGTTAGATTTCAGAAGCTAAAAATATTGTATTAGTTTTCAGCATTGATATCCATCTGATTCTACTAATTGTGGTGCTTTTTTTTTTTACTTTTGATCCCAGGAAAGTCCTATTACTTTAAGGAGATCCCTCACTCCCAAAAGGAAACCAGTTCAGGTAGCACAGAAGGATGGAGCTCAGATTGAAAAAGTTGTGCCTTTTCCATCGCCAGAAGTTCCTTCATTAAAAACTAATCCCAATGATTTGCCTATTTCTAATGCCGAGGAACTCACAGCTCTCCTTCCTTCTTCGTTTCCAGACCTGGCTGGCACCCAGCTCCGTTTTCCTGGTCGGAAACCGAGGCTGTCGTCATCGGATTGGTTTCAGTGGCAAAAGCAGACAGTCACGAAACGACTGAGCAGTTTGGATCCTGGGTGGCTAGACAGGTGCCAAGGGACAAAATGGGAGAGTAGAGAGGAGCAAATCAAAGATTGCAGTTTGGACCCGGCTAACGGGGCAGGGCCATGCCGAGGATTGCCCGAAAGCATTTCTTTCCAAACACAGCCTCCGTTTCTCCAACCGGGGAAAAGAAAACGGGAGAAAGATTGCCAATCTCCCCAGGAAAATTGTCAGCAGGGGGTGTTAGAGAGGCAGCCCGTGGGCCAGAGTCCAGAAGACCTGAGTACACCGAGCACACGGGATAATCCAGATTCAGACAAAGAAAGGATCAGTGTAGCATTCAGTGCAACCAGTGCTGAAATTCCCGCCACTGAGCAGATGCAGAACCTGGAGGCTGTCAGAAAAGACGACAGCCGGAAAAGAGAGGAGCATCATCTGCAAGGAGCTTCCTCCAGGCTGAGGGGTGCTTCGTGTGATGGGCAGAGCGGGCAGCGTCCCCTCACCAAGAAAGGGAAAATGCCAAGCAAGAAAAGGCGTCTGGACCCTGCAGCCGACGATCACGTTGCTCCAGGCATTTCTAAACGCGGCGTTTGCACCAAGCGCCAAAGGACTAAGGTTGAGGACGGCAGCCACGTCAAAAAACAGCACCCTGCAGTCAACCAACAGCCAGGAAAGGATGAATATGACTTTGACCAAGACATGGCCAAAGGGCAAGAGGAGAAGGAGGAGATGGTTCCACTTCTTTCTGAAAATATACTTGGGGACCTGGTTGAGGAAAAATGTCCTAAGAGGAGTGGGAAGCCCAGCATGCCAAGGTATCTACCCTCACCTTTTCCTGGAGGGAGGAACTGGCTGGGGAATTCTGGGAGTTTAAGTCCTCAAAGTCTTAAAAGTTGCCAAGGTTGGATACTCCTGCTTTGGATACTGATCTGAGTTTTTCCCTCCCAGGCTGCCGCCAAAGAAATGTGGCAATTTTGTCCGTCTCAATATGAAAACAAAATCCCATGTAAAGAGTTATGCCTTGAAGGGGAAACACCTCCGCAAGCAGGTAAGTTGCCTTATGGTCAACCTCCATAGTGGGTCAACACGTTGAGAGTTTTTAACTGGTTCTCAGATTTTATGCTTGATCATCTCCACCCTCCCACCCCCCCATGCTAGAGAATTGACTACAGGTAATTCTCGACTTACGACCACAATTGAGCCCAAAATTTCAGTTGCTAAGCAAGGCTGCGCGGGTTGTCATGGGGGCTCCCAGGTACTCCCATGTTACACCCCCTTTAGGCGGCCTGCACTGGTTGCCGGTTGTCTTCCGGGTGCGATTCAAGGTACTAATTATGACCTTTAAAGCGCTCCGTGACCTGACAAATGNGAATGGTTGCAGGAACTGGGTGTGTCTAGTTTAATGAAAAGAAGGACCAGGGGAGACATGATAGCAGTCTTCCAATATCTCAGGGGTTGCCCCAAAGAAGAGGGAGTCAAACTATTCTCCAAAGCACCTGAAGGCAAGACAAGAAGCAATGGGTGGAAACTAACCAAGGAGAGAAGCAACTTAGAACTAAGGAGGAATTTCCTGACTGTAAGAACAATTAATCAGTGGAACAGAAATTGCCTCCAGAAGTTGTAAATGCCCCAACACTGGAAGTCTTTAAGAAGATGTTGGATAGCCATTAGTCTGGAACGGTGTAGGGTTTTCTGCCTAAGCAGTGGGTTGGACTAGAAGACCTCCAAGGTCCCTTCCAACTCTGCTATTGCATTGTATAACAGCAGCTTTGGCTCCTGAAAGAAACCCAGAACTTAAGGAAAAGAGAATTCAGAAATTATTTCTGAATTACTGCCATTGTGAGGAGCGGAGGATACCTGATCCGTGGACAAAATCCATGCGCTCCCTGAACAAACACAACATTAACTTCCTCTCTTATTTCTCTCTCTCTTTTTTTAAATCCCTTCCTTCCATCCTAACAAAGACAGGCTCTGCTCTGACCGGCACAAGAGATTTGAACCCACGAAGCCAGGGAGGGGAAGAAAAACAAGAGCGTGCTCCCTCTCGCTCTTCCCAATTTTGCCTCGATGGGCACTTATGTTTTCCCAGGTGAATCCGGATTCGGCACCTTCCTTCCCGCTGATACGAAACGCTCGGCCGTTCAGCGGGAGCGAGGAGCGCCGCCGCGCCTTTGCAGGACGGGGGTGTGTGTGTGAAAAGACACACAGATACACAACGCGAGGCTGAGCAGGTTGCTTAGCTGAGGATGGGGAGGGAGAGAAGAGGGACTGTGGCTGGCCTGTTTTCGCAGCTGTCCCAAATTTCTGCGCAAAAGGATTCGCAGTGCAAAAGCAGGTTAAAGATGCATTTTCTAAATCAGGTTTTTCCTGTTTTATGAAGAGTTTTTTATTTTATTTTTCTTACTCCCACAGACAGACAATTCACAAATATGCATTTCTCATAGATATTATTGGTGTTATGCATTATTCTTTAAGATTTATAATTCCATTCTTCCCCTAAAGGTATAATAATAGATCAATTTTGTTTCACAACCAAACTTCTTCTTCCCTCTCCTTTTTTCCTTCCCTCTCTTCTTCTCTACTTTCTTCTTTCCTCTTCTCCTTCCCTCTCTTCTTCTCTACTTTCTTCTTTCCTCCTCTCCCATCTCTTTCCTTCTTCCCCTTCCTCTCCCCTCTTCCTTTCTTTCCTTCCCTCTCTCCTACTCTTGCTAATCCTCCTCTCCTTTACACTTTCTTCTTTCCCTCTCCTTTTCTCCTTCCCTCCCTTCTTCTTTCTTCCTTTTCTTTTTCCCCTTCCTCTCCCCCACTCCTCCCCTCTTCCTCCCCTCTCTCCTATTCTTGCTACACTTTCCCTCCTTTCTCTCCTTTACCCTTTCTTCTTTCCCTCTCATTTTCTCCTTCCCTCCTTTCTCCTTTCTTCCTTTCTTTTCTTTTTCCCCTTCCTCTCCTCCACTCCTCCCCTCACCCTCCCCTCTCTCCTATTCTTGCTACCCTTCCCCTCCTTTAACCTTTCTTCTTTCCCTCTCCTTTTCTCCTTCCCTCCTTTCTTTTCTTTTTCACCTTCCTCTCCCCCACTCCTCCCCTCTTCTTCTCCTCTCTCCTACTCTTCCTACCCCTCCCTTCCTTCCACTCCTTTACCCTTTCTTCTTTCCCTCTCCTTCCCTCTCTTCTCTCCTTCTCTCTCCTTTCCCTCCTTCCGTTGTTGCGTTTTCCATCTCTTATTCAATCGGATGTATTTTTCCGGGGTGGCGTTTGGGCAAACCCGGTTCTATATTTACATCACGCTCTTGAATTCCCTCTTTCTTCTCTCAGTTTACATAATAACAATTCCACTTGTACAAACTTGTACAAATTTGTCTATCTTTTTTTAAATATACTTTTTTATTTTCCATTTTCATGACATACAATCACATGTATACTATTACATAGCCAATATCCTATTGTATTAAGTAGTAATTACATCAGTTCCTCTTGTCATCAACGCCCAGAAAGATAAAAACCCATTGTTAGCTCTTCTACTCTNCTGTGATACAGTTGAATAATAATAATAAGTTACGAATCCAATTTACCCGGGAGTCCAGCTGCTGCATATACGACCAGAGATATTCAATATTCGCTCCGAAAGGATGAACGTGAAGGAATGTTGATATGATACCTGCATTAAAACGAAATTTTGATAATTCATTCGGGCCACACAGAGTAGGATAAAATAATCATTGTACACCAATGCATCTGGATTTCATTCGAAAGTCGGCACTTGTGATTCTGAAACAATTCAGCAAAGGAAACGAATTTCAACCCAAACCCTTAGCTTTCAAGAATTAAGAGTTCATATCCAAGTGACCAAAAAAAAATGGAAGAAAAAAAATTACATTCAATGAAAGACGTGCTGGAAAGGATTTTTGCAGCTCCGCATGTTATGCCTGATTTGCCCATCAAAATGTGAAGGCATTTGAATAATAAAATTATTGCTTTTTTCCCCCTACTTCTTTGGTGGCTCTGATTAGGAACATGTGTTGGCTATCAACCCTGGTCAGCGTTAGCCTGCGTGGAATTATTATTTTTTAAAATAATTTCAGCATGGGTTACATCCAGATTCAGATTAGCGTGCAAATTAAGCCATATTTTTTTCCCATGCATTAATGAATCCTTGCAACCCCCCCGCCCGAAAAGAATGCAGGTAGATCTGAAAATCCTGAATGAAACAGAAAGTTCATGAGATCATCATCATCTTTTAATGTCCCCAAAATCCCTTGTGGGTTGGAGTCTGGGCAACTGAATGGCCGGACGCCTTTCCCTGTTGCCAATGTGGAGTTTGGTTCAGCAGATATATTCTCATTGTGCCCAGAGAGAGAGAAATATCTGCCTCTACCTAGGATTGAACTCACAGCCTCCACCTCTAGGCCACTGCAAACCCTCCATGAAGTTCATGAGATGTTTGTACCAAATCATTAAGGCCCAATCATTATTTCCATAAAGGGTACATTGCATGGATTTATAAAAAATGTTTAGTTTCAGAACCATGTTTTTTTAATTTCTTAACGTAGCCAACTTATCCAAATCTGGGGGGGGTTTCCCCCTATTTCCTGGGGTCTCACCCACTGAAACACAGAATACACCAGACCCATGAAGACCCGGGGACGTTTTGCTTGGGAAAAGGAGCGTGCAGTGTTATCTTACCTATCAACAAAGCTTCTTTCTCCGATTTTAGTGGCTGGCTTCTCTTCTCCGCGTTTTTCTCTCTGTCTTGGTTGACCAATGGCGCTGTCAGCCCATTGATTTCCTATAAGGTTGAAAAAACACAATTAAATAAAACAGGTCCTCCTGCGGAATGCATCCGTGTCAATAGGCACTGCTGGCATTCTTCCTCTCTCTCTCGATTAAAAAATAAAGGACACTATTTTAATTCCCAGCTACAGGCAAAACAATTATAAATTATTGATCTGTTTTCCAATGCTGGGTAATTCCCGACGGGATGTAAGGAAGAAAACATAAACAGGTTTTTTTTTTCTCTCTCTCTCTCCATCTCTTAATTGCCTATAGCCAAAAAAATAGCTCCAGATTGAGCAATAAAGAAGATTCTTTAATAATCTGCCCTTTGTCGAATAAAATCGACATCCCTTCTGGATTATTCCAATCTCGAGATAAGTATAGGATAAACTAATGGATAACAGCATATCCATTTTTTTTTTTCTTATTCACAGATCTTGCAGGAGGGGGGAGAAAATACAGAAAGCTGTGAATAATTTACAACCGGGAGATGAAAAATAAACTTTTCCCACAGAATGACTCAACTTTGGTGAGGAGAAATGGCTCCTTTCCAAAACAATGACAACTTCCCTTCCCAACTGCACTGACAGGTAGTCCTCAGACTTGCAACGGTTCATTTAATGACCGTTCCAAGTTACAGGGCACTGAAAAAAGTGACCAATGGCCGTTTTCCACACTTGCGACCGTTTAGCTTCTTACGGTCATGTGATCGGATGCTTGGCAATGGACTCATACTTACGACCGTTGTGGTGTCCCAGGGTTACGCGATCCCGTTTTGCGACCTTCTGACAAGCAAAATACACGGGGAAGCCAGATTCACTCAACAACCGTGTGACTAACTTGCTAACTACAGTGATTCACTTAACGACTGTGGCACGAAAGGTTGTAAAATGGATCAAAACTCCCGTAACAAATGTCTCACTTAACAATTGGGCTCAGTTGTGGTCGTAAGTCGGGGACAACCTTTTAATTCTTTTACAGAGGTAGATAATGTCATTACGGTCAAAAACTGCCTAGGTCAGTTTATTTGATTTAGATCAATTTATTCAAATTATAGATCAAAGTTCTATAATTTAAATAAAGAAGGTGCTAAACTCTTACGGGCTTCAGTTCACAGAGAACCTTCGTGTTCATCCGCATTTAGTCCTCAAAGGATTCCAACATTTCCGTCGCTAAGCAAGACAGAGGTTAAGTGAACTTTGCCCCGCTTTACGACCGTTCTTGCCACAGTGGTTAAGTGGATCACGGCCGTCGTTAAGTTAGGCACCCGGTTGTTAAGCAAATCCAGCTTCAACGTCAACTTTGCTTGTTCAGAAAATCGCAAAAGGGGCTCACTCGATTTCGGGACGCTGCAACCGTCACAAGTACATGTCAGTTGCCAAGCCTTTAATCACGTGACCACGGGAATGCTGCAATGGACGTATGTGTGAAAAAACAGCCGTAAGTCACTTTTTTTCCAGCCCTGTTGTCATTCCTAATGAATTGTCCTAAGTCAAGGACTTTCTCTGGTTTCGGGAGCTGTGCAGGCAAAGAGTCTGCTTCGACTCGTGGAGAATCGGTTTGCAAAGTTATCCCGTTAATGTGTGTGTGTGTGTGTGTGTGTGTGTGTGTGTGTNGAAGAGGAGGAGGAGGAGAGGGGGAGGAGGAAGGAGAAGAAGACAAAGAAGGAGAGAAAGGAGGAGGAGGAAGAAGAAAAGGAAAAAAGGAGAAGAAGGAGAAGAAGAGGAGGGGAAGGGGAAGAAGGAGAAGAGGAAGAAGAAGAAGGGGAAGGAGAAGGAAGAAGGAGAAGAGGAAGGAGAAGAAGGAGGAGGAGGGGAGGAAGAAGAAGAAGAGGAGGAGGAGAAGGAAGGAGAAGAAGAAAAGGAGAGAAAGGAGGAGGAAGAAGAAAAGGAAAGAAGGAGAAGAAGAGGAGGGGAAGGGGAAGAAGGAGAAGAAGAAGAAGGGGAAGGAGAAGGAAGAAGGAGAAGAGGAAGAGGAAGGAGAAGAAGGAGGAGGAGGGGAGGAGGGGGAGGAAGAAGAAGAGGAGGAGGAGAAGAAAGGAGAAGAAGACGAAGAAGGCGAGAAAGGAGGAGTAGTAGGAAGAAGAAAAAGAAAAAAGGAGAAGAAAGAGAAGAAGTGGAGGAGGGGGAAGGGGAAGGAGAAGAAGAAGAAAAAGGAGAAGGAGGAGGAGGAGAAGAGATACATTTGTATGATTTCTCATGAATTTATATTTTATTAAATATTTTTATTTCTTAGTACTAAATACAAATAAAAAGGAGACCATGGAAAAGCAGTGCCAATAGGGGGAACAGCATGGAGGAGAAGCAGGAGGTGTTCTACCCAAGGGAAGCCATGGGGGTGGGAAACATCTCCAGTCTTCAGGTTTTTAAGGGAGATCCAGAAGATGAGAAGATTAGATCATCTGCCAGTCAACATTGTACGCAAGAGATGGTTGTCTAGTCTTCTCTTGCACACTTGTTTTTCTGTTGAAAAACTGAAATAGTAGTAAACCAGAACAAAAAGCTCTTGGAAAACTGGAGATCATAGAGAACATTTCTAACCATTATCTGAAGGCCTTGCAGCTTAACGTGGGGCCCCCATAGCTAAATATATGGAAAATGCCTAGGTTCCTGATATTGATGGGCCCATATTGACTAGGGAATTCTGGGAGTTGAAGTCTCCATTCCTTAAACCAGGGGTGTCCAAACTTGGGAATTTTAAGACTTGTGGATTTCAACTCCCAGAATTTCCCAGCCAGCTTCAAACTTTGGGAAGCGTCTGAGAATTCTTCACCCCTGGAAAGTCCACACCAAAGAGGACCCAAGTAGCAGAGACTTTTTGTGTATGTCAATGTTTTTACCAAATTATGGATAAAAGATCTCCAGAAGTTGTGGCTGCTCCATCACTGGAAGTTTTGTAAGAAGAGATTGGAGAATCATTTGTCTGGCTGGGGAATTCTGGGAGTTGAAGTCCACAAGTCTTTAAAGCTCCCAAGTTTGGACACCTCTGTTCTAAAGGTTGAAAAGGACTGCTTGAAAGTCTCAAAAGTGCTTTTTTCAAAAGGCAGCTGGACTGTTTTTTTTCCTTTTATAAATATACTTTTTTTATTTTCCATTTTCATAACATATAATCACATGTATACTATTCCATAGCCAATATTCTATTGTATTAAATAGTAATTACATCAGTTCCTCTTGTCATCAACGCCCAGAAAGATAAAAACCCATTATTAGCTCTTCTGCTCTCCATACACCTCTCTCTCCTACCTCCTTTCTTCCCTCCATCATCCTTTTCTACTCTACTTCCCCTTCCTTTCTCCTTCTCCTCTCTCTACATTCCACTCCCCCTTATCCTCCTCATCTTCCCCCCTTACCCTCTCTCCTATCCCTCTCTTCCCATCTTTCTTCTCTCCTCTGTTTCCCACTCTTCCTCTCCTTGGTGTATTTCCGCTTCTGAGCAAACTCCATTCTATGTTGATGGTATTTATGCTTCCATATCAATATACTTAACATATTAGATCTTCTGCTCTCCATACACCTCTTTCTTCCACCTCTCTCCTACCTCCTTTCTTCCCTCCATCATCCTTTTCTACTCTACTTCCCCTTCCTTTCTCCTTCTCCTCTCTCTACATTCCACTCCCCCTTATCCTCCTCATCTTCCCCCCTTACCCTCTCTCCTATCCCTCTCTTCCCATCTTTCTTCTCTCCTCTGTTTCCCACTCTTCCTCTCATTGGTGTATTTCAGCTTCTGAGCAAACTCCATTCTGTGTTGATGGTATTTATGCTTCCATATCAATATACTTAACATATTAGATCTTCTGCTCTCCATACACCTCTTTCTTCCGCCCCCTCCAACTTACTATCTTCCCTCCATCATTCCCCTCTACCCTACTTCCCCTCCGCCTCTACCACTCCTCTCTCCCAGTATCCCAGTATTTGAGGGGCTGCCACCAAGAGGAGGGAGTCAACTTATTTCCCAAAGCACCAGAAAGCAGGAGAAGAAAGAATGGATGGAAACTAATCAAGGAGAGAAACCTAGAACTAAGGAGGAATTTCCCTTACAGCGAGAAGAACAATTAACCAGTGGAACGGCTTGCCACCAGAAGTTATGCTCCATCACTCAAGACGAGATCGGACAGCCACTTGTCTGAAACAGTTTAGGGTCTCCTGCTTGAGCAGGGGGTTGGACTAGAAGACCTCCAAGGTCCCTTCCAGCTCTGTTGTGATTGATTGATTAGTTCCGACCGTTCCACTAGAACTGATCAAGCTTCTTAGATGAGAAGTGAAACCTCTTCACCTTCCTTCAAGGAAAAAAGAAAAACAGGCCCAGTTGCCTTTTGAAAAAGCATCTTTGAGGGAACTATGATTTGGATGATTGAGCATCTCCAGCGGCCACCTGCTCGGAAGGGGTTGTCACCCTCTTCAGCACCAGACAGCCGCTGAAAAGTCCCATCCCGTTACGGATGGTAGCAGAGAGGAGAGAACAAAAGCAGAAAATGAAAGCAGGATAAAGAAATGAAAAATAAAGACCAGGAGCGATCAAACTGAAAGGACATTAAAGCAGAATGTTGGCCAAGAAGCCTTGACTGATTACAGGTATTACAAAATTCATAGGGGGAAAAAAAAAAAGGAGAATGCCCAGAGATTTTGATCCCTTAATTGGGCAGACAGCATCCCGTTTGTCCCACTCTTGAGAAATGCGTCACTTAACTATTTTCCCTTCATTTTCTAAAGTGGCCAAGAAACAATTTCTGCTTGATGCTGGCACAAACTCTGAGATTGTTCTGCCGAATACCCATCACAGATACATGCTGATTACATTCCCCCTATTTCAAGCAGCATACAGAGTGAAATTTGTGTTCACGTTGATTGCCTGACTGACAATTCAGAGGACTCTTCTTGGAAACTTCTACAGTAAAGGTAAATGTTCCCCTCGCACAAATGTGCTAGTCGTTCCCAACTCTAGGGGGCGCTGCTCATCTCCGTTCCAAAGCCGAAGAGCCAGCGCTGTCCAAAGACGTCTCCTTGTTCATGT